TGTACAAAAAATGCAGCGAGCAAAGTGGGTTGGTGAAGAGGGTGATGATGGTGCAGTATTTAATGTTCACTGTTGACCATTTGATAGCTACTTAAGTAGCTCGTTTGTGAGAGAGAGAGAGAGAACCCTATCAATGAGAGATATGGATAATTTGAATTTACCGGGTTTTGGAAGAACTGCAGCTTGTCAGACCTAATAGAGAAGACAATGTGCCTCCCTATCAACTTTGACAAGAAATAAGAAGAAGATGCACTAGCAGTGGCATTGAAAACCACCAAAGCTACACCTTTGAAAACCCCAAAAAGGGAACCAGCAAGCAAGGACATGAATACAGTACCAGACGCAAAAACAAAAGCAAAATAAATAAACCAATCAATGCCAAACAGTCATTGCAACAAATGAAAAGGAAGTAGGGACAATGATTTTGTGGGGTAAACAGTAGCAGTACAATATTTTTGTGGTTTGGAAACCTCTCTCAAGATTCCATCAACCAATGTGATGTACTGTGCTGTCAAAATTTTCAACGAAAACGAATGACCACAAAAAAAGCTCTTCATTTCTTTTCTTTTTTAACTCTCCCTTCACTTCTCTATTTATTAATGTCTCCTTGGATTTGTTTCAGGGTTTTCCCTTTTGTTTCCAGTACCATCAAGATCACAAACAATATAACTACAAACAAAAAAAGAAAAGTATTTCTTACCAACCATCTTGGAGACTCGGGAATGAAAAAGAGACCGAAAATGGTCACTACACAGGGAACTAGTCCTGCAATCACCACACAAATGAGCACTCTACTACTATATTAGATAAGTATTCAAAAGCAGAGTCTGTCTAAGTAAATCACCTATGAATGCTAAAGCCCTCCAGCTTTCTAGTACCCCATTTTTGAAGGAAATGGACACTCCAGAAATGATCATTAACTATAAAATAAGCAGAAGACAAAGTTAGATATGATCCAATCCAAACCCATATAGTTTGTTGCTGAACTAACCCACATCAATTTCTTGCTTAAAATATCAAAGCTAACTCACAAAAGAATTCTACTAGCTAGGTTCAAGGATTGCATTTCTTGTTACATGTTTACCTGATTTATAGCAGTTAATCTTCCTCCAAGATTTTTGAGTGCAATTTCAGCTGTGGAAACAGGTACCTTATTATCCAGGAATTGAAATAAACCTCTGATAAATATCAAGAGTTGTATGTATGCACATACATACACATAAACAAAGGGGGAATCTTTACAAAGAAAACTGATCCTTTTTTAATAAAGAAAACCACTCCAAGATTTAAAATATACTTTAATATATCTTATGCAATTGCTCATCTACGTGAGAACAGGACCAATAGAACAACAACCCATAAACAAACAATTGAAAGAATCCCAAAAGAAACACACATATTGAAAAGCTCACAAAATGATTTCAATAAAAATAGAAACGCAAAGGTCCAAATGTAATCAAAACAGAAAAGTTATAAATAAATACCTGGATGCCCCGTTTCAACAATCCCAGACAAGAATCCGATAGCCCACTGCGGCAAGAATGGACATTTTGGAACTGAGTCACATCGAGCTTCTTGTTAATGATTCCCACAATGAAGTAAATGCTATCAGAAGGCAGAAAATCGACTCTGATTTCGTCCATTGTGTCCATTATTTCTTCTCAGGAAAGAAAATATAAAGGATAAAACTTAAAGGACATGTATTCAAGGCTTTGGCTAAGCTTTTATTTTTCTGGGTTGGACTTGTAAGACCAGATAACCCTAGATAGGGGATAAAGATTGAGTTTTTTTGTTGAGAAATTGACACAGGGATGGATTTCGCGAGAGTGGGAGAAACAGAGTGGTGGTGGTCATGGAGCGACGGTGGAGAGATAAAATGCTGAGAGAGGAAGAGAGAACGCAGAGAGCGAGGTCAGAAGTTTTCGGTCACCAATCAATGGCCAATAACTCCCCAATAGATATGTTTTTATATGAAGGGTCGTTTGGTCATTTCACGTCCCCAAGTGATTATATCAGCACACAATTTGCGACGTGATCATTTTAGAACACCATTTGAGAAATGTGATTACACCAGCATATTTCCCTATTTTCTTTTTGTCATGAGATAGGCCTCATCAACTGTATAACTTTGGGCCTCATCATATGAAAGCCCAAAGCAGTCCCAGCCGAACCGCTCAGACTATAATGCGTGGAAACTTATACGGGGTGGTCTATGCGGGGTTCCCTTAAAAGACGTCCGATCGATCTAACGGTATACTTTTGACATTATCTTTATGCTACAACCGGGTTGTAATTACCCGTTTTTAAGAACCAAAGGGTTTTGTCATCCACGTGCCCACTCCACTCTACAGCCATCCACGTGCCCCTTTGAAAGCTCCAAGAAACTTAATCAAATTCTTATTTTTCCATTTCTCCTCTTGCAGTTATCTCCTTTCTTTATTTCTGAGCGGTGCATCTCCTCTTCTTCCACCCGTGTTACCCACCCCTCCTCCTTCTCTCTTCCTCTGTCTTTCTGTCTCTCTCTCCCTCTTCGACATCCCAAGTTTTAGATCTAACACTCCTTGTTTGTTATCGGTTGCCTGTTGTAGCCTCACATCTAACAAAGACAATTTATTCATCTTCAACTTTTACATGATTTTGGAACTCTCTTCTTTCTTCTTCTTTTTTTTTTTTCCTTTTTTTTTTTTGGTTGTGAACAAATTTTTCTGATCTGGCATCTTCGCTCTCAATTTAAAAAAGGTAAAGAACCAAAAATTCGAACTCACAATACATACGAAACATAGTGTGTTTATATATCACATATGTCAAGAATTATATTGCTTATTGGTTGCAATCATAATTGTCCTCGACAAAGTGATAGACAAATGCATTCCAAGCAAGAAAAATTGCAAGAAATAGACAAAAAGTAGCGATTTAGCAAATATTTTTAAAGCTTTTTCCCCCATTAAACTCAATAAAAAGAAAAAAAATATTTTAAAAAAAACTTAAGGTCCCTTCATGCATTCATATCATACGTGAAAAAATATTTTTATGAAAAATGGTTTTTCTGAATAATAATTTTCTCAAGATAATTTTTTGCGGCTTTTATTCCTTACACATCAAATAAGAAAATTTGATTTTATGGGATTTTAGTATGAAGTATATATTGACTTAATGAGCCATCATTTTTAGCTTAAATCGTATTTTACACTAAAACCGATTTTTCATTTTTTGATTTGGTGGGAATTTGATTTTCTAGTATTTTTATTTGAATCAAAATAGGGGGTACTTCCTTATTTACATTGTAAACTTAAGTAAATGGAGTAATATAAAAATAAATTAAAGTAAAAAGACAAAGACATTTACTTAAATGTTGAAAATGGAAATAAGGTAATCTGTATACCTGAAGTGCAACACCACTAACTGATCAAGAAGACAATTTGAAGTATCTCCTTATGCCTTAATAGGTCCGCCACAACACATGTGGGCACATATCAAAACGTAAAGTATTTGAAATAATATACATATGAAAATAAATAACAACATATTACTTTTAAAATATTTAAAAACTTGAGTGGGGGCCCGGAACCACACTGGTCCTAGTGTGGCTTCGCCCCTAGTGTCACCTGTTCTTGATTTCTGGGTTTTATTTGCATTTGATTTATGATCTCATTTGGTAAGTGTACCCTTCAATTGAAAATGACCAAGATTCAATAGTTGAAAATTTTCTGCCTTCTTGTTTACAGTGTTTTTAAATAGGGAAAGGTTCCTCTCTAACTTTGTTTTCTTCTTTATCTGCCTTCAAATCTCTTCGCGAAAAGCCCGAAATTAAAGAATTCCAGGAGACCAAGTCCTTGTTGGGCATTTCATCGAACAAGTTGCGTGCATCATCTGCACGACCCAATCTAGTATAACAAGAAACAAGCTGATCGCCAATGAACCCATCAGTATAATTGAAAGATTTGATGACGCAGGAGTGAATTGCACGGCAATAGGAGATTGAAGAGCAGGAGCTTACAGCAGAAATTAGATATGAAAGAAGAATGTCTGGATTTGGATGTGAGGGAAATTGGACAGAGGACTGGGGAGAAAGAAGAGCATTGTGAAATCTTTTCTGGGTGAAGAGTTTGCAGAAACGTTGTGGGTTTTGAATTTGATGGAAGCAGAAGAAAGTTCTGGACTTGAAGAGAAAGGAACTGAAGGATGTTGGGCTGGTCCTAACAGTTAATTCCCTGGTTTAAATTTATCTCCTTTGAGAAATAATGGAAATGGGTTAGACCATACATGGTTCCTGGCTGCGATTTTTCTCCTCAATATTGCAAGGTTCTCTGATTTATTTAATTAGATGTTAGTTTGGGTGAATTTCCTCCGTTAATAAATATTTCCACAAGAAAATCAAAACAAATAATTGGGGAGTTGACTTGAGATTTGAGTTGTGAACTTCTGAGAGAAAAGAAAAGAAATTACTCAAAGTCACTAAAGATAGAGATTGATATGCAGGAAAGAAGAGGCCATATAACTTCAGGGAAAGTTTGGGTTTTTGAGGGGTTACAAGGGTGTTTGCGCTTTGCGTTGAATATTTGATATTGCTGTTCAAAGTAGAAATGGAGAAATTTTTAAAAATGTAGTCAATAATGCATATAGAGTAGAAGAAATGTAAGATTAATTTTATAATATATATATATATCTTTTTTATTTTATTTTAAAGTAAGTGTATTTCCATATTTGCATTATTTTTATTGTTTGTTTAAAATATAAAATAAACAAATTCTTCAATAACTCTCTCCTCTCCCTCAAGCACCTAAACCCATCTTCTTCATCATACCCAACCCACCACTCCAGCCAGCCGCCCTTAGCACAACCGTTGTCCCTTTCCTTACCCCATATAATCTGTATATAATAATAATTCATGGTAAAAAGTAATATAATATTATTTTAGGGTAAATAACAATATAATAACAATTTATCATAAAAGTAATAGAATAATAATTTTACAAATTTATAAATAAACTCAATCCTAGACATGTATTTATAAAAAAAAAAAAAACTCAAATACTATTTAAACATAGAAACACACCCAAAATCAACCACAAAATCAACAATTGTATATTGTTTAGGTGTGTTTATAAATGGGTTTTGAGTGTGTGTCATGATGGGTTTTGAGTGTGTTTATAAAGTGTTTTGGGTGTTGGGTTTTTTTATAATTTCAGCCCCATTTTGGGTGTTTTAGTGAAACTCCCTAATAATTTAGAGTAAATGATAATATAATAATAATTTAGGGTTAACAACAATACAATAACAATTTAGGGTAAAAAGTAATATAATAATAATTTATGGTAACTATTAATATAATAATAATTTAGTATAGATAACAATATAATAATAATTCACTGTAAAAAGTAATATAATAATATTTTAGGGTAAATAACAATATAATAACAATTTAGGATGAAAAGTAATAGAATAATAATTTAGGCCTTTATAATCAAAGATAATGTAAGGAGTTTGTAGCAATTTTTTGTGTATTTTTTTATTTTTAATTAATTTTTTTGTGATTTTTTTTAAGATAAACTTGGAAAAAGTAAACAAAATGGCATGTGGCAGAATCGTAGGACCTATATAAAATATAATAATTCACTGTAAAAAGTAATATAATAATATTTTAGGGTAAATAACAATATAATAACAATTTAGGATGAAAAGTAATAGAATAATAATTTAGGCCTTTATAATCAAAGATAATGTAAGGAGTTTGTAGCAATTTTTTGTGTATTTTTTTATTTTTAATTAATTTTTTTGTGATTTTTTTTAAGATAAACTTGGAAAAAGTAAACAAAATGGCATGTGGCATAATCGTAGGACCTATAAAAAATAATGACTACTCTTCTTTGAGCGGCTGCCACATGTGATTCTCTAAATTTAATATTATTTATTTTGGATTTCACTTCTAAAATTCATAACAAATAAATTAAAAATCCAAAAAATACACCGGAAAGTCCTACGAACTCCTTGTGACATTCTCTATGCAATCAAGCTATAAAAATGTAATTTCACCTATAAAAATATAAATTGACGACAAAAACTCACATTTATTTCTACACAACCTAAAACACTAGTTGATGCTCTATAATATAACACTCATGTTCTTTGATTCGACGATTACCGTGAACATAAATATGTGAAATCATGATTTTAGATCTCCATGGTCAAAGACAATGTCATAAGGAGTTTGTAACAATTTTCGGTGTTATTTTTTTCATTTTTAACTGATTTTTTATGATTTTTTAAAGATAAACTTGGAAAAAAAGATAAACAAAATGACATGTGGCGCAATCGTACGACGCCACCTGTCGAAAAAATGACTACTCTCCTTTCAGCTGCAGCCACATTTGATTCTCTATAATTTAATATTATTTTTCTTGGATTTCACTTCTAAAATTCATTAACAATTAATTAAAAAACAGACAAATACACTGAAAATTGATACAAACTCCTTACAACATTGTCTTTGACTATGGAGGTCTAAAAATCATGATTCCACATATTTATGTTCACGGTAATTGTCGAATCAAAGAACATGAGTGTTAT